CCCCCCCCCCCCCCCCCCGGTAAATGTTGCTCATACGCCACGTTGTCAACGTCTCTGTCTGTTTAATGTCTGCTCAACCCACCATAAACCGTGTCCACCTTGTGCAGCTCCTACATGCAGCATCCTCATCGTTTTTGCCTGGACCATGTCCGGCCATGTTGCCTTCGATTGCGGCCAGCCAGAGAACAGCCGGGAAAGCGGCTCGAGCCGGCAATTCAATTGCAAAGGGGCTGGCCCTGGCCAACGGACAAACACATCTTCCATTTGTCGCAGCTGTCCAGCTCCTGCTCATTTGGTGGCGTCCCCCCACAGACTGACTGCTCAACGCCTAACGCAATATTGAAAGCCGCTGTTGCTTGAACCGATTAGAACCAAATTCCAGTTGGTTTAAAACAAATTAAACTTAAAGCTAAAGCTCTTGGATGAGCACCAGATGGAGAAGCAACTGAGAAGCGACCAACGAATTCGAAACAGGATCAATTTCTCTCAATTACGTTTACATTTCTTAACAGTACAAAATTTCACCCGGTTCCGGTTTAAAACCACACCAGTTCCAAAATTGAATTAAACCTTTCTCTGGTGATGCCAGAGCCCACTCAAAGAACTTTAAGCACATCGGGGATGCAGCAATAAAAAGAGCGAGAGACGCAAAAGTATAAACTGTCACAGAATGCAGACAGGGACTGGACCTGCCCCCGAGCTGTCCGTGTCCGTGTCCATGTCCGTGTCCGTGTCCTTGTCCGTGTTGTGTCATCAGCGTCGCTGCGGTTAATATGTTGGCCAATGTCCAGCTGCTGATGCTGCCGGTCGTAGTTGTTGCTGTTGCCGTTTCTGTTCCTGTTTCTGTTGTTCTTGCTGATTGGCGGGCAATCCTTAAATGTCAATGGGACGTCATGATAATCACGTCTGGCGCTGAATTCCGTATGTCGATGAATACTTTGGACTCTTCGTTCTTTTGCTGCTGCTGCTGCTGGTGCGGCTGCTGGTGCGGCTGCTTGCCGGGCAGGATCGTTGTCTGACACATTCCTTGGCCCTGTCCCTGGCCCTGACCGTGTCCCTTCTGAAGGCCCATGGCTGGGATTCGCGCTGCAATGCTTGGTGGATGCTGATGGGCAGGATGCACATGATGCATGCGCTGCTGCTGCTGCTGTTGATGCTGGTGATGGTGGTGACAGATCTCCTGTGGCGGCTTCGCTGTGGGAGTCGCCATGAGACCGCCATAATGCGAGCGGCCGCTATGTCGCTCCTCCAGCTCCAGCGACTCGGGATGCATTTGCTGCTGCTGCTGCTGCTGCTGTTGCTGCTGCTGTTGCATGCTGCGTCGTGTCAGCGTGCCGACCACTGGCGGCGGCGGTGTACTCTGCGGCAGCGAGGGCGATCCCTGGCCATGTGGCGCCGGCTCATAGCCAAAGGTGGAGAAGAAGCGTGGAGGTGGCGGCGGCATCCCAACGCCCGCCACACTGCCACCGCCCAGCGAGGACGAGCTGGACTTTTGTCTCATTAGTGTGGCAATACCGATGCCCGCTCCTGGTCCAATGCCAGGACTGTTGACGAACAGCGATTCCCTGCGGAGCATGGACAAGTGAGAGAAACAGTTTAATATTTGGCTGCCACGGAATGGAAAAGAGAACTGGGGACACGGACACCGACACGGACACAAAATGATCTGTGACGGCTCCCATTTTGCAATGGCTGCCAGAGAGCAAAACATTTCACTTGCTGCCATGGCCCATGCATCATGCATCATGCATCCTCAGCGCGTGGCACGTTCAGCATTGTGTCACTCTGTTCACTCGATTGTCATCCACTCCCTCCGCTAACATGCGACTCTGACTCTGACTCTGACTGTGACTGTGACTGTGTGCAGTGGGAGCCTGTCTCCATATCCAATAAAGACGCATGCAAATACAAATATTTGCATCGATTTGTGTCTGTGCAAGCGACAGGCAACGGCGTCTGCCCCCACAGAGTCAGAGCCAGAGCCAGAGCCAGAGCCAGAGAGCTCGACATTGTCATTGTTTTTAGTGTTTGGCCAGCGTTGACTTTGCAATTTGCTGGCATCTATTTGACTCCCCATATGCTGTGGATGACCAGGAACGTGCCAGCAACTGGCTCCGGAGCCCCTGGACCACTCACCTCGTCTGACAGCCCATATCGCAGGCATTAACTGGTGCCGTCGACATGGCCGCCTTTGTCATCATCTCATGCTGATGCTGTTGCTGTTGCTGTTGCTGATGCGTGGCCGTTGTGGTTGAGCTCGAGTCGCCATCGTCGCCAATGCCAATGCCGCACAGACTCGTTTGGGTCATGTCCGGATGGCGTCGCAGAATGCTGTGCTCCTTCTCCTTGAAATCGGCTTTGCTCGATTGTGTGGACATGGGCACGGCCTCTCGGTAGTAGCGATTCGAGACATCGTCCAGTATTTGCAGCGAGGTCTGTGAATGCTTTTGCCTGCCGAAAACGAAACGAAAACGTTTCAAATACATATATTCCCTGTGTCATGAATCGATCAGTCAGTCAGTCAGTCAGTCAGTGCCACAGCTGCAGTCCATTCACATCTGGGGCTATTGTCAAACAATCAACACCGAGGGGGCACACCCAGCTGTCGCTTGCCTCATTAGCGCAGGGCGTTGAACCTCTGTCTGTCTGTCTGTCTGTCTGTCTGTCTTTGTGCTTGAATGATACCAATGGGTAGTCGACAAATGCGACTTACCTTGATATGTTCTCTCGCGAACGCGCCTTGGAATTGCGACCCATCTCGTCCAGCTTGCTTTCCTTTGACTCGCGGATGTGTTCCTGTGCCAGTCAGAGGGTGAAAGAGAGAGATTAAGAAATATAATAAGCATAATAATAAATATTTTTAATTAATTTGGGTAGGGGGAATGGGGCCAGGAGCAGCAGCAGGAGCTGGGACTGGGACTGGCACTGGCTTAAGCTGCCTGGACAAAGCTTCGATTCGAGCAATGAGTGTATCTGCAGTGCGCGTATCCATAATTTGCTTTAAGGCCCTCGCTGGCACCGACCCCCCACAGACTGCTGGATTATGAAGAAAAAGGAGGAAGGAGGAAGGATGTGGATGTGGATGTGGATGTGGTGGGTGCTGCTGCTTGCAGAGCAATTAAGCCAGTTGCCACCTGATGCCCCCAGTTCTCTCTCTCTCTCTCTGTCTCTCTCTCTGTCTCTCTTGTGTGTGTGTGTAGCAGTAGCTCTTGATAGCCTGCATAAAGGGAAAGCGTTAATACGTAAATACATCATAATGAAGAACGTGCTCCGTTCAGGCAAATAAAAGCCTGAATCCAAGCAACCCCCCACAGCAGCCTGCACACTGAATTGCATTCATAATGGTATACAAGGCAAACCTTTGCTGCAGCTCTACCTTTGCCCAGAGATTGCTTGGATCTCCATTTTGCTTTTTGCCAATTACTCTCTCTCTCTCTCTCCCATTATTATGGCTGAATATTTCCAGCATTCGCCCCAAAAGGAAGATAATAATGTCTCGAGAGCGGAGCTGGAAATCGCGAAGCAAATCGAACAGAATAAATATTGTTAGCTCTTTATTGACTTTCTATCTCGGCCACAAATGCAGTGGGTTTAAGCTTCGATCTACAAATCTATTGGTACATTATGTATTTTATATTTGGCAGCAATTTGGTTTGGCTAAAAACGGTTAACTATTCACTTTGAGGCCTTTGCTTGTTGTCTCGATTGTCTGGTACAAATTTCACTCCATCAAAGCGGCAATTTACACACGATTTAAACCTACGCGAATAATACTTTTGATACAAGTTTTTATAATGTTTATAATTCAATTATCAGCGATTAAAATTCAGCACTTAAATCAGCATTTTACGAACTCTCCATTGATAGCAGTTTGAGTGGTTTACGGTCGAAATGAAATTATTAAATCGGTACATAAAGTGCCTCGTCCAATGTGATTTCTGATTTCTGATAATTATACACATAAATATCAATCATTTGTGATGCACAATTGGAAGCTTGAATGGAGCTGGGAGCTGGGAGCTGGGAGTTGGGAGCTGGAATGTGGTTGGATTTCTGTACTTGATTTTGAATTTTAATTTGCGGTGCGGTGCAGGGCAGGGCAGGGCAGGGTTTGATTTTAATGATGCTGCAACTCAGATGCATTTCCCAGATACATAACAAGGAGCAGAGCAAAGAAAAAAAATCGTGTTTCTTTTTTTAGATGATTTTGTGAAGGAACTTGAGTGGATTTGTGCTCGACTTGGGCTTGGCCAGCATTGGCGGCGGTGGCGGCGTCAGAGCCGGCAGCATGATGTCCAGCTCCAACGAGGTGTATGAGCTGACGGTGGCCGTGTGGCCGCTGCTGCCGCTGCCGCTGCCGCTGCTGCAGTGCATCGAGCTGCTGCCGGATGGGCTCGAATTGTTGGCGGCACAGGGGCCAGCAACGAGCACGAATTCATCGTCGTCGGGCATGGTGAGGCTGTCGCTGTCGCAGCTGAACCCGATGCCGTCGTCGTACTCTTGATCCTCCTCCTCAGGCGGGGGATCCTCCAGCGCGTGCTCCTCCTCAGTGTCAGCCCCTCCTCTGCCATGGCACCGATAGTCGCTCTCGTAGCTGCAGTCATAGCCGTCGCAGGTCTGCGCCTGTTCCCCCAGCTTGGGTGGCGTGTTGGAGTCGCTGCTGGAATCAAAGTTCGCCGTTTCAGTTCGCAGTCCGTTCAGCCGTGGCTCATTCATTGACTGACTGCCATCGCTGTGGGCTGTGGGCAATTGCTCGGCCAGATTGTAGGCATAATTGCACATGAAATCGTTTTGTAATCCCACGAAAATGGCGCTCTTGGGAGCTTCCAGTATGAACGAGTCAATGTGATAGATTCGATTGCTTAGCGCTGGCACATCCTGTGGGTGAAGCACAAGAGAAAGAGAAGACAGACAGAAGAGAGAGAAGGGAGATAGATAGATAGATAGAAAGAGGAAGATATATAGCAGAGAGAGAGAGAGAGAGAGAGAATATCTATCACCGATTTGACCAAGAGTCGAGTAGAGAAGATAATTTCTAGCGCAACTCTAGAGGCGATACAAATCTACATGTGGTCTAAGCTGTCTAAGCTGTCTATGTGTGTGTGAGTGTGTGTGTGTGTGTGTGCGCGTGTGTGTGAGAGAGAGATAGCTAGAGGACAGGCAAAGGTGCATTTCCTGGTGCAGGCGAAAGAGATGCAAAGGAAACCAATTGATGTGTGGGTGGGAATTAATCAGAATTAAATGTAAGCCTCACTCTGGGATGCAGTTTCCTTTCCTGTGCGCACAGAATGCACAGCCAGGAAGCTAATTTGATTTGGCATTGGAGTCGTTTTGCCCAGCCAACGGATTGTGTCTTCGGTTGGAGTGGCCTGCACACACAACAAAAGTCAACGATAATTGAATCATCTCTGCCCCATTCCAGCTCGATGTGGGACACAAAGCCTGAGGGCTAAGCACGAGTGGGTGCCAACACTTGTCGCATGAGTGATATGCAAATGAAAGTCCAATTCAAATCAAATACAACTCAATTTGTAGAAGTTTTGCCCAATAATTAATAGATATCATTGTTGCAGATTGCAGCTGCCAACAAGAGAAGCCCAGACCCACGCCGAGACGTGACAAGTCGAGCCATGGCCATCAAGAGAGTTGGTTCCGCCTCTGCCTTTTGTCTCTAAATGGCTGCGGAGGCCCGTTCTCTGTGGCCTACATTCCCTTCCATTGCCAAGCGGAGGACTGATAGCTCTTGCCACCCATTGTCCTGCCCCACACATCCGATGATTTCGATGGCAATGTGTGGCACATGAAGTACAAGCAAAAACTAACCGCAAAGCAGAGATTTTTGTGTGCGGTTTCCTCTCTTGCGTTTCGGATATTTTTTGCTTTTGAATCGCATTTTTTGATGCTCGTCGCTTGGGGCCAATTATTGTTGGAATTAATTGGGTTTGATGGCTGTTTGTCTTGGCCACACTTTAATTGGCCAAACACATTTTGCTTTGTTGACGGACAAACTATTTTTGTCCTTTCAGATCTCACGTCTCACATCAATCGTCATGCCTCGCTGGTTTGCATTTTGGCTGCAAATTGTAATCGAAATTCGCATTCGCATTCGCATTCGCATTTTCTCTTTATTTCATAAATTTGTTGATGAAATATTTTATCCAAAAATTTACACACATCCCATATACCTGTGTGTGTGTGTGTGTGTAAAAGTTTTTGGCTTTGCGCTTGGCTGACTTTTGGCCTTTTTGCGGAGGGGTGTGCGGAGGCCTGGGGAGAGGCAGTGGGAAAAGTTTGGCATTTGTTTAATTGGAATTTTGGGGGGGGGGCTCGTCGAGTTGCCCGTGAGTTGAGCTCACCTTTGAGTCGGTTGGTGCCAGCCACCAAACAACCAAAGGTCTGCCACAGGTCCTCGGGGGCAATTTGTTAAATTAACTTCGAACAAGTTGCCTCTAATCAGAAGCCAATCGCAAGTTTCCCCCACTCCATAAATCTCCTTATCTGCGCCTCTCACCAAACCCGAACTCAACTTTCCATGCTGAACATCCATCAAGGAATCTGCATTTGATGCCACTGAGACGGAGATTCACGCCCCAACCCAACCCAACCCATTGTTTGATTTGGCAACCAGTTGTGAAAATATGCTCTCCGTTTGATTGCCTTCATATTTGTATACCCGGTACTCGAAGAGTTAGCAGGGTATATTGTATTTGTGCACAAAGTGGATGTATGTAACACACAGAAGCCGAGTCGATTGAGCCATGTCTGTCCGTCCCTCTGTCCGTCCGTCCTGATGAGCGCCTAGTACTCAAAGACTACAAGAGCTAGAGCCACCAAATTTTGCATCCAGACTTCTGTATGCTCACACTGTTACAAGTGTATTTCAAAAATGAGCCCCGCCCCCTTCCGCCCCCGCAAAAGGGCGAAAACCTCGCAAAGCAACAATTTTAACGCCATTCCGTAGGGAAGGACCTATATCTATCTGATCACCGATTGGATCACTATTAAAGCCAGAATGAAGAAATTAATTTGCAGTGGCTAAACCCACCCCGTCCCGCAGCTTATATTTGTTTTTTTTTTCACATTCTCTCATTCACACTCTGCTTGTCTGCAGTGTGTGGGTATAGGGAAGGGCAGCGAGCTAAAGGAGCGTGTTGGTGTGAGAAATGTTGTTGATAAAACACCGCTAAGGTGCAGATGTACTCAGTACTAGAGTGCCGGGTATAAAAGTTGTGACGCGTAAGAAGCGTTTCACACGTCCCTTTTCGTTTATTATTATTATTATTATTATTATGAATCGTGGCTATGGCAACGGATATCAAAATACGCATTCTGATTGCTGATTGCTTCTCGTCTTCGCATTCAAATTTCCTAACCGAAACGCGGCTCTAAAATTCCAGATCAAAATCAAATTTATTTTTACTTTTATTTTATTTTATGGCATGTGTCGGTTGTTGTTGCTGTTCTTGGTTTGGCTTCCTAATTATAAATTTGCAGTTTAAATGAAAAGTTCGCACTAACCGCAAATGGGGGAAGACAAAATCAATTAGAATGCAAAATTGTGCAATGTTCGATGTCTCTCAAAATGTGTGTTGCGGTTTGCCGTGTGGGTGTGTGTGTGTGTTCTGGGATTGATTGACTGGCCGACTGATCAATGGATTGATTGACTGACGACTGCCTGGCAGCTGTGCAGAAAGAGCCACAGCTACGGCCACAGTCATAGCCATGGCCATGGCACCACCCACCCACGTGTTAAGCTCAAGTGAAAGCATTTCATTTCGCATTAAGCCCCAAGCTTT